ATCTCGCCTGCCCGGCAAAGCCTGGCAAGCTACCGGTGACATATTCGATATGCCAAACACAGTAACAAGTCTCACAATGTTACTGGGCCCACTAGAGCAAATCGATGAACAACGGGAGGACAGTGATACAGTGACAATGATGTTCCCCAGATGAATGCAATCTTTTTATGTCTATCCCTCTCTTTCTGACTCATTTCGCTTAGCATGATACTTTCCATGTTGTACCACTTGTATATAAATTTCATGACTTCCTCTTTTCTAACAGCTGCATAGTACTCCATTGTGTAGATGTAACAAAGTTTCTTTTACCAGTCATTAGTTCTTGGGCAATTAGGTTTTTTCCAGATTCTAGCTATTGTAAACAGTGCTGAAAAGCCTGGCAAGCTACCCGTGATATATTCGATATGCCAAACACAGTAACAACAAGTCTCAAAATGGAGATGTTACTGGGCCTGCTTGAGCAAATTGATGAATGACGGGAGGACAGTGCAGACAGTGCAGTCATTGAACTCTGTTTTTTGGGGTCACATGCAGTAATGCTCCGGATCTACTCCTGGTTTAGTGCTCAGGGAGTTGTTCCCAACATAACATGAGGGACCATGTGGTACCAATGAATTAATCTGCGTGCAAAACATGCATTCTAGCTATTTCTCTTCCCTCACATCATTGAAGTCTGACTGAAGAAATACTTAAAAGAATACTTAAATACTTAAAAGAACACTTAAGCTAAAACTAAAACGTATCTAACTCTGGACTGATTCTTGTATACAATAACCTTTTATTCCCGATTCACAATAGTTGGTTAATCTATAGCTCTTTTACTTTGTAGTATGTAATATATCTTGCAAATGAATTCTCCTAAGATTATTAAAATATAAATCATAAAACACTTAAATAAACTTACAATTTAAAAATTAGCAATCACTGCATTCATCTGAGGAACATAAAGTAACAAAATAGGAGACTCACACCCAAGAATAGTCGAGATAAGTACCAGGAGGTTTACTCCATGGCTTGGAGGCCAGCCGTACACTCTAGGGGTAAAGGCAGCTCAGATAGAGAAGGGAGCACCAAATAAAGGGTGTTGGGAAGATTCGCCCAGGATGGGAGATGCATGTTGAAAGTAGACTATGGACCGAACATGATTGCCACTCAATGCCTCTTTTGCAGACCACAGCACCCAAAAGGAGAGAGAGAACAAAAGGAAGTGACCTGCCACAGGGGGGTGGGGGGTGGGATGGGGGGATGGGGGGGAGGAAGGGATTCTGGGAGCATTGGAGGTGGGGAATGGGCACTGGTGGAGGGATGGGTACTCAATCATTGTATAATCGAAACCCAAGCACAAAAATTTGTAAGTCTACAACTAAAGGAGGAACCCTTTAAAATATGTAATAACTGTAAATAAACAAAGCCTTTGTTTTAAAAAAAAAAGAGCACATGCAAAAATGCACCACTCTATAGATGTATTCTATTATGATATGTAATAATATATAAATTATATATGTGTACACATAAAGGTAAAGGTAAAGGCCCTCCCGTTCGTCGATTTGCTCGAGCGGGCCCAGTAACGTCTCCATTGGAGACTTTGTTGTTACTGTGTCTGGCATATCGAATACGTCACGGGGAGCTTGCCAGGCTCTGCCGTGCGGGCGAGATACTCTCGGTAGCTTGCCGGGCTCTCCCAGAGGGGCGGAGGAATCGAACTCGGGTCGGCCATGTTGGCTGCGTGCAAGGCAAACGCCCTACCGCTGTGCTATAAAGAAATTTATCTAAACTTCCTTACAAAACACACAAAAAAAATTAGCAATCACTTTAGGGTTAGTCTCATTGACCTCTCGCTCACCTGCTCACCAAATAAGTGCTCACTGAACTGGCCTGTTCATCTTACCTCTTGCTGCCACACTTGGATTGATATAAATTATAGATAATATATTATGTAACAGTTTCTGAGAGCTTTTCCATTTCCTTTACAAATTGCACATACTAAAATCTCTCAGGCTAGAGCCTGAACAATGGCTAGGGTGCTGGCTTTGCACCTCATAAATTCCTCTGAGTCCTACCAGGAATGATCCCTGAGCACAAAATCAGGAAGAAGCCCTGAGTGTGTCTGATTGTTGGGCCAATCTTATTGAGGGTGTGGCCCCCCAATAAAATTCTAAGTTTTTAAGAATCACAATGTAATTTATTTCATAAATTATTGTCATTTGTGTTATTTTAAATTCATTTATTCAACAAACCTTTATTGAGAACATCTTATGTACCTGACTGGATACTAATATTGATGGCGATTTCAACAAAATACATACATTGGAATATATTTATTAACTTTCACAAAATAGAATAATAATATCAGTAAATTTTGTGACACGGTTCCCTTAGGCCTTCTGACTTAGCTCTAAGATATGTATCAAAAGCAATCATTGTCAGGTAATATAATATGTATGATATTGAATATTGCATTCTCTTTGAAAGATCAGTCTTTAATTTTTTTTATCCTAGATCCATACCCTTCAGATACAGATTCGACCTGAATGTTGTAGCAAGAATCATCTTTAAAATACACACCTTTGAAAAACTCAATGCTAGACACTGTGACGGTCATGAGGGTACATTCGACAGATTCCAAGAAAACTGTAATCATAATATGGGACATGAACACAAATGATCTCAAAGTCTATATGCCAGAGAATAAGCATGGCATTGAGAATGAAGACATGGTGCTAAGAAAATCTAGGGCAGAAATAGGTTATTTCCAAATAATTGGTTAAGAGTAGTTAAGTTTAAAAAGGAAATGAGCTTTTGAGCTAGCACTCAGGCCTCAGTATGCTCAGGGTTTAATCCAGGCATTGTACCCAGAGATCACTCCTGGCAGTGTTTGGGGGACTATATTTGGAGCTGGGGTTCTAAATGGTGTCCACCATAAGTAAGGTAAGTACCTTAACCCCTGTAATATCCATCTCTCAGGCACCTAAGAGGGGTTTTGTATAGAAATTATATTTTTAAATTAGCAAAATATTTAATCTCAATTATTTATGTTGTCAATAATTACACATAATTAAGTTCAAATTTTCTAATATTAAATTTCAAACATTTAGTGTTTAAATTATCCAACCCCCCCATTTTTCTTCTCTGTGTCTCCTACCAAGAATCAACCCTAATTATGTCTCACCAGAAGATGCAGAAATTTCTCCAATTCCAGAAAATTGCCCCTAAATCTCCACAAACTGAATGTAGCTCTAATACCTACATCAAGAAATAATTGTCTTCAATTCTAGTTGTGCTGGAAATATGTGAAATTTGAGTCTTTCATCAACAGCTTGTTAAGACAAGTTACAGAACATTATTATCATTTTAAGTAGTAAATGAATGGTTAACTAACAATTTGAAAATATTAGTAGATGCTAAAAATATGCAGTCAATGTTTATATATAACTTTACTTCGCACCTGCGATACGGTACACAATTTTTTCCTGAGTAACTGTGCTAAGTTCTAATATATAATTGTCACAATTAGGGTATTACTCACAGAAACTCTTGAATCATGAAGATTTTTCTACTTAACTTACTGCAAATTAACCCATTACTCAAAGTTGAGATGATCATTTTCATGATCTATTAAGTTATACTTAGCTCTAGAGGTACCACCTCACACACATCTATTTGCTACTATTTACAGTATGCTTTCTAAATTGAATTTTATCCCAATTCTATCACTAGACTTTTCCTTAGGCCATAAAAAAAATCTGCACTTGCATAGTCATCTATGGATTTCTGCACTGTAAAATGATCTTAAAGCTATTTTATTCTCGCCACTTCTCTTCTGAATATTACTTAATTAATATTTTTGTATCATTAGTAATAATCCAGAAATTGTCAACTTGATTCTGAATTTAAATAGTTCTATTTCTATCAATCGCAAGTAAGAGAAAACTGCTGAAGTATCACATGGATTCCTACTTGGCCATAGAACTTTTAATTTTTTTCTTTAAAAAAAAACTTAGGTGACCGATTTTTTTCCAAAAGGCAAAATAAAATCATGTCAATTTCATTCACAATTTCAAAAAAAAATTCAGAGTGATGAAAGGAAACAATGACACATTCTTAAAATGAGATACATATAGTATTTTGAATAATTCAGCAACACGAATAAACACTAATGAAAGGAGGCAGACACAAAAGGCCACCAAATGTTTTTTTGTACTTTGATGACTATAAAGTCATCAAAGTAAAAATGCATCAAAAGGGAAAAAATAAAATAAAAACAAGGAAAACAAGAATCAAAAAGGGAAACCAGATTGTGTTTTTCAGAACAGAGGTGGGAGTAGTCACCTGTAAAAGGCCATCAGGAAACATACTGGATTGACTGAAATAACCTATAGTTTAATTTTGGTGATTATTATGTGACAGCATTTGGTTACATTTGCCAAACTCATATAACTCTAAATAAATATAAATGTTTCCTTAATAAATCTGACTTTTGAAAACTAAAACTTTCTTGATATCACTAAATTTGAGTACATTTAAGCTGTTAAGCTAAACAGTCACTAAGGTATTCATGAAGAAAGGAAAAAGTTTCCTGATTTATACATTTTTAGATTTCCTCTTTTCAGAATCACATACACTTTTCTTCTATTGTCTGAGAAAAAAATTACATGTTTAGAGATGACACGCTAAAGAAGTGACTTAATGTTAATGTTTTAATTATAAAATGACTTAAATAATATCTAAAGATAACAATATTTATATACCAACTTGCTAAATGGTCTGGCTGTGAGGATCACCTAGTCTTGAAATCTCACTTGAATATTCAATTATTGGCAACAGCAAGACGATTGCCTTTAACCTCTCACAGTGGAGTCAGCCTGTTAATAATTCCGAAAGACAATGGAGGAAAAACACTCTTAGGAACTCTCAGAAAAATATAATGGTCAGAGACAAGAAACAAAATGGCAGGATTCAAGATGATCCTGAAAGAACACTTGAGACAGCAAATGCCTTACCTTTGAGTTTGGGTGGCATAGCTGTTCTCATAAGCCTCATAGGTCTGGTCATCATATTCACCCCCGTAGCCATCATCATACCCCTGAGGCAGAAAATGGTAGAAAGACCTATTAACAATGAATTGGATTAGAGTGTTCTTAGTTAATGAAATTTTATATAATGTGACCTTAGTTGAGTTTTTTGTTTGCTTAGTCTGTATCACTTTCTATCTGAGTAAGAATTTTCACATAACCTTAAATATTTCATGAATCAGATGGTGGTGTTTAATTATTGAACTCAGCATATTACTGAAGCAGGATTTACCTCAAATTTTGATTGATATAAGTGAACAAAATTCAGGAAATTCAAAACAGGTCTTTATTTTGAAAATACTATGGATAGATGTAAACAATCACGATAACCTGATGATCAATACGACTAAACAGATAAATATGACTAAACATGAGATTTCTGTCTCTCCTTTTAATAATAACTACAATTAAGACGGAAGCTATAAAATATAATATCCTGAAATTGTGCCACAACTCTCAGTAAAAACAGTGTAGTTGTTATTGTAAATAAAATTTTAAAAGACAGTAAGCAAGAAAGAATGAAAAAAAGAAGACAAATTGAGAAATGCAAAATAAAAACCTTTGGTTTTGTTGTGCGTGTCATACTCTTTATTTTATTAGTGAAGTAAGATAGTCTTATACAAAGAAATTTGCTTAGAAAACTGAGGGGAGAGAAGAGAGATACATTTTCAAAGAGAACACAATTCTCCAGAAGGTAAAAAAGCGGCTATATTTTTCAAACTTCGTAAATAAAATAAAGCTGTGTGGTAAGTTTGATTACCTGACTAAATTATTGCTAACAAAACTAATGCACATTTGTCACTGCAGAATGTATAAGCAAACCAGCAACCATAAATTCCAGTTATCAATCACTGTGAGTGATTTAGTTATATTTCCCTTTATGGCCATTGACTTGACTATAAACTCCATTTATTTATTTTGATTACCTCTTACCTCTGAATAAGGAACAAAAATTTACTAGTTTTTCTGTCTCTACAATTTTCATTGGTATATCCTTTCTATAATGTACTTCTATTCTACCCTGCCAACTCACAGCTTAATATCCTGAAAGTTTGTAAATCCATCTTGTGTTTATATATGTTTATTATTAATTTGTACATTTGAGATGCTGAGCTTTGCATTCAGGTTTCACATATACAAGTCAAGAGTACTACTAATGAACCATACCTCCTGCTCTCTTGTTCATAAATTTGAACAAAAATGTTATTTATGGGGATTAGAGAGATAGTACACGGTTAAGGCATTTGCCTAGCATGTGGTCAACACTGGTTTGATTTCCATCACTATATGAGCCACCCGCCACCACTTTGGGGACTGAGCACAGAGCCACAAATAAACTCAGAAAACAAAGAAAGAGAAAGTTGTTTTTTTATGTATTGACATGGTATATCCCTATAGACTGAAATGCAATGCTATACATAGGAGGAGGGGGTGGACAAATCAAGGGACATATCAATTGCAAGACTGTCTATCCTTATGAAGATCTGATAAAGATATATAAAAGCAAAACAAGTAAAAACATAGCTGTGTGAAAGAGCTATGTTATAAAGATAGAAATGCGTTATAAAGTTAGTGAATTGTGCCATAGTTGGTATACTTTCTGGACACTCCAACCATCATCCTGAAGTCTTCTCCAGAAGGACAGTCATCTTCTGTCCCTCACCTCAGAAGAAGTAGTTCTTCCCTCCCTTTGAATGGGTAACTAAGAAGACTGATGCTTCTAATCAACATAAGAATGGTTAAAAAAAAAAACCATTCTGGTGGAACCAGGGCAATATAGTAAGCAGTTGACCTGGTTTTGATCCCTGGCATTCCATGCAGTAACCTGTACACAGCAGGAGTGACCCCTGAAAACAGAGCCAAGAGTAAGCCAGAGCATTGCCCAGTGTCCACCCCCTCCCCGAAAAAAAAAAGTAAACAAAAAACCCAAAAACATTACTTTATTGCCTCTTCATTTCGCTTACCTTTTGTATAATGCTATTTGGTTTATATAGAAGGTTCTCTGAGTATAACTCAAATTTCTTCTCTTTATCCATTCATGATTTCTGTTCCATTATGGATTTGGGGAAAGGGAAGTTGGGTCAACCAGGCGATGCTCAGGGATTATTGCTGGCTCTGTGCTCAGGGATCACTCCCGGCAGTGCTTGAGGGACCATGTGTGGTACCAGGATCCAACTAGGGTTGGATGCATGCAAAGCAAGTGCTATAACCTGGATCCATCTCTCCACCCCAATTTCATAATACTTATGCCCTGTTTATTTAGATCTTTTATTATAGATTGAATCCAGATTTAAATACAGATCATTTTAAAATATTTCAACATATTAAAGGACCTATGTCTAAATATTTTCCCCAAACACCATATCTCTTTTAGCTTTCACATCTCTTATTTGGTGTTCTATTTTGTTATTAAATAATATCTTTAAGTTTTTTAAGGATTAACTTGTTATAGAATATTATTGCATATTTTATATAAAATCCTAATATATTTTATCATCATTGTTATAGAAAATGTAGAAAAATATCTACATTATAATTAATAGCAATTAATATCCACTAATGATCAAATGGTCACGGTCACGGTCCTCCTGTTGTTCATCCTTTGCTCAAGCGGGCCCAGTAACATCTCCATCGTGAGACTTATTACTGTGTTTGGCATACCGAATACGTCACGGGTAGCTTGCCAGGTTTTGCTGTGTGGGCGAGATACTCTGGGTAGCTTGCTGGGCTCTCTGAGAGGGGCAGAGGAATCAAATCTGGCTCAGCCAGGCCAATTGCATGCAGGCAAACACGCTACCCACTGTCCTATTGCTCCAGCCCAATGATCAAATACATGGATATAATTTACTTTTAGTTTTACATGTCATTCTGATTCTCCTTAAGTCACCAATTTCTTTCCTTCATTATTTTCCAATTAAAACAATTTCTAAACATCAAACTTTTATAGCCCTTAAAATATCAAAATATAATCATGATTAAAAATTGCTAATGTCACTGTCACTGTTCTCCCACTCTTGATGGATTTGCTTGAGAGGGCACCAGTGACATCTCCATTGAGAGACTTCTTGTTACTGTTTTTGACATATCGAATACACCACAGTTAGCTTGCCTGGCTTTGCCGAATGGGTGGGATACTCTCGGTATCTTGCTGGGCTCTCCAAGAGGGGCAGAGGAGTTGAACCTGGGTTGGCCACATGCAAAGCAAATGCCCTACGCACTGTGCTATCGCTCCAGCCCAGGATTATAATGTACATTAGTTAAATCTTTTTAGAAATAATATAGTTCTCCAAGTCCTTACTGCTTTTCATAGCTGACATTGCAAGTAATGGAGAGAAGTGTTTTTGGACTATCTTATATTCTGAATTTGTCTGCTTTTTTCTTATTACAGAAGAATGAAACATAGATTATATTGAGCATCTTCCTGACAACAATTTTTAAAATTTTATTTATTTATTATTTTTGATTTGGAGGCCATACCCGGCTAAGCTAAGGTTAGATTTTCCAGTTCCGAAAAATGTGACTCTATTTGTCTCTTTTCTAAAACTCTTCTAGTGAGATTTTGATCTTTTTCCTCCCTCCCTTTGAGTCATATGGAATGCTTCCTATTATATTTATAGACTTAATAAAAATATAAATTAATCTTCCAATTATTATATACAACAGAGTCTCCTGCCCCTGTGCCTGGCTGTCCTCACTGAGGCCTCTTGGAGGCGGGAGGGTTGAGTTTCTCTCCCCCACCCCCCCGCCCGCCCCGAGCAGAGCCCCAGCAGCTGAGGACCTCTGGAGCCAGCTACAGCCATGCTGGAACCACTCTACACACGTCCGGATGGGCCTCATTCATGAAAGAACTGGCAGAGGAACTCAGGCATGCAGTTCACAGGGCTAAGGTTTCCAAGCCTACTCGGATTGCAACTGGGCCTTCTCCAACCAGAGCCCCCATCTTCCAGTAGGTAGGCGTCACACCCACCAGCTGCCACCAGTATCAGGTTGGTCCCATCAACGGCCAAGACACAGAGACTATAAAACCCAGCTCCTGGAAGCCCATGGCCGCATTTGCGGCTATGCAACATCTTATTTTTTCCTTTGGAGAACCTGGCAGGCTACCAAAAGTATCCTGCCTGCACAGCAGAGTCTGGCAAACTTCCTGTGTCGTACTCAATATGCCAAATACCAGCAACAATGATAGGTCTCATTCTCCTAATCCTGAAAGAGCACTGAGATGGCTCTTTTAAAATCTCAGGGCTAGAAGAAGGAGACATTACTGGTGCCTGCTTGAGGAAATCGATGAACAACAGGATGATCGTGATTGTGATAATATACAACACTGAACTTCTGCTAACTGCACACACATTTAACAACTATTAAGATGTAGAGAGAAAATTTCTATGTCTGCAGGTAAAATTTAACTGTTTTCAGAACTTTTATATTTCATATCCCTTTTGGAAAAAGGAGATAATACCACAGTTGAAAATTTCATGAGTTAGGTAGTGCAGACCAATTTTCTATTCTGGCTATCTATCTGGGATTAATTCTATTTTCTACTCGTGTCCTTTTTCCAGTATCCAGGTAGTTGTTTCTCTTCCAAGATAAAAAAAAATATGACTTTATTTACATTTATTTCTTACTAAAACTTGGGTGCTAATATGTGTGTGTGTGCACGTGTACTAATATAAGTGTATGTGTTTTTATAAATAGAGAATGCCAAGAGGAATAACTGAAAAAGAGTCATGGAATCAATCTATGACTTGTCTTGCTCCATTTTTATTTTTAGTTTTCTTCCTAGGACAAGGGGCTAGCACGAAAGCTGAAGAGGGAGGCAGCTATATAGTCTCTAGCCCTTCAAACCTTTTCTGTTTCTTCTGTCTCCATCTGTTGAAATGCTACTAATTTTAAAGGTCATTTTACATTATATGACATTCAGGAAGCTTTTCCTGTTCTTACAAAGCTCTGAATTCTAGTAGCTTGTATCTTTTTTTTCTCAATAGTATTTAGATGGTCAAAAATGTGCCCT